TACATGCATTCAATCCTTTTCTTTCTATCAGTCAAGATTCTTTTTAAATTGTGTTATGAGGCAAGATGGTTGATTACTTGCGTAATGTTTATAATTTATTTCTAGCTTCTGCTATACGCCAGCAAGGCTACTGACGTGGTTTTTGTTTTATTTTCACTTCAAATTTCAAAAAAAAAAAAAAATGTACAGAACAAACAAAGAAAAAAAAACCCATAATATCACTGCATCCAATTTCATGTAATTTAAGATGAAATACAAATAAACATGGAATGAATGAAGAACATTAATAATGACAGAAGGAAGAAGAACAAAAACTATTTTTCGTAATCATGCTATAAATTTAACGTAATCATCAAGATGGAAAATGATGAGACACATAATAAAAATAATCTATTGACAATGCGCAATTTGTAGTATAACATTTTTTTCATCATATAGAATTAAGAATGATTCATCTGTAATCGTTTTTTGAAGTTTTCTAAAATCAACTAATATTTGACTCATTGTTGGATTTACAGATATGTTTTCTTCCTATCGAATATGTGTGCTTACTTGAAAGTAACATATAAAACAATGTGTACCGACATATTTAGTGATTCTCAAAATTATTCACTCAGCTTTATTTTCAGTTTCTTTTCATTGTCATAAACGTTAATAAGAATCCAAATAATGATTTGTGTAGAGAGTTTTTTTTTCGAAAATGACAGTGATTGCTCGTTTTTTCAAAAGTACCATTACTGAAACCTCGGTTTTTTAGTTTTTCAGAAACTATATAGCTTAGAAAACTTGCAATCACTTTCATCTTCGAAAATTCTTATTAGTGTTTATAATAGTGCGAAAAAAAATTAACAATGAATCTAATTGAACAATTTTGGAAGCCTCGTACAAATGTGCCTATGAAAATCAAGTGATATTATTCTTTAAAGACATGCCAGAAAGGTTCTTTTTTATTGTTCAAAATGAAGATTAATCAATTCATGAAGAAAAAAGAACCTAGGAAGACTAGGTTTCAGATATCAATTAATTCCAGGTTGCTATATGTTAAAACCAATTCATCTATTTTCATGATTCTTTTTTAATAAAGGAGAAATAGTCACAAGCGATTATCAATTTTTTATCTGTGTATGTTTGTGTTCTGTATGATCTAGTGAGATTAATAGAAAAAAAAATCTTTTGGGAACTATGACATTGATTATTTTCAGCATATCATTAATATAAAAAATAGTCTGCACATTAAATAGTTCCTTTAAAAATAGAGAGTAGTGGCAAACTTTGCAGAACATGAGAATTTGATGTTTTTTTTTTTTGTCGTGACGTTTTTACATTGTGATAGGATAGACAAAACATTCTTTTAGTTCTTTCAATGAAGATTTTCATATAGAGATATAGATAGAAGACTAGTTAGTATTTTGTAATAATTCAAAACAGTTCAAGATTGGTACACAGTAACGTAAAAAAACAGTTGCCGCTAAATTTTTCAAAATTTTTCCTACTAAAAGTTATGAATATGGAAAAGTTTTTAATTGATAGATTACACATGCAGTATAATCTATAACTATAGATATTAGCATAAAATTCGCTATATTGTCGATTTAATAAGAGCGACAAATCCTTCTTTCTTACAGACCGTCCCAAAACTTCTAGTTTACATACTAATTTTATATTATTCTTTGTTTAGAAATCTCTTCAATTCATTGAGATTTAAGAGTGATTCTCAAGATACACAAAATGCTTGACTACCAATCACAACTGTTCAACTAATCTGAAACTCGTACCACTTAATCTTCAGATGGTCGTTTCTTTCAGATGCGGCTCAAAAATCGCCTTGCTGATGCTAATACTCAATAGTGCTTCGCTCTTAGATCTTGGAAATCTTATATTAGGTAGTACAGATAGAGATCTTTTCCACACGGATAGTTTAGTATAACGGAACGACAATCATCACTTCAGTAGCATAAGATGACTGAACATTCCGTTAATAGATGGTAATTATTTCAATAACGTTTCCTTTTTTATGAAACTCAATAAAACTTTTGAAGACGCGCCAATCATGTTGAATACAAAGAACTATCTTCCATTGTTTGAAACAAATATCTGAAGTAGTGGCTCGAGAAATTGAAGCAACAGACCTCGATGAAGTTTGCGTGTCAAACGGCATTTTTTTTTATACTTCACTAGATATTCTTAGTCCTAATGACAGATAATGACGGTTGTTGTATATAATTTTTAGAAATGCTCTATTCTGCCTACTCAGCTCTTCCGCTCAAAGATTTTTTTTATTGAATGTTGATTCACAACGGACATTCTTTCTTCTTTTAAAGTAACGATAAAAATTTGATAATATCTAAAAGAAAAAGAAACATTCGCCTACGTTTCGTATGAAACATCTTTTCTATCAGCTATGTTTTTCTTTTCATATAATTTGAATATTTAAGTTAAAAGTGGTATATATAAGTCGTGCCGAAGTTAAACTTCGTCAATAAAATTTTGTCAAAGTTATTTTGCAACATTTAACTAAATATCTTTGGTGAACAAGTAAGTATCATCGTGTTGAACCATGCATTAAAACTATTCCTTTCAGCTATAAACAACATTCGTAGCTATATTTATAAACATTTATTTTGAAGAATTTACAAATTTAAAATTCAGAGAAGCTTAATTGCAACAGAATATAATGAGTAGCACAATGTAACAATTATGAGCACATCGACTCATGTCTAATTTGTCTTTATTTGAATTGATAGATGAAAAGGTTGACATCTGCTCAAGGATGAGTCGATTTTTTATTTACTATCAATTAAAGTTTGTCACGGATTATATCATAAAAGTTTTTGCATTTTTCGAGTCTTTAGAACATTTGAAGTACTCTAAATAAGTAGGAAATTCATCGACATTAGTAAACAAAATGCTTTATTTCTAAATAATTTGACGTTCTTCACAATAAATATTTATAAATATAGTTACGAATCTTGTTTTGCTGAAAGGAATAGTATCAGTGCATCTTTCAACACGATGATATTCATCTGTTGATGAAAGATATTTAGATAAATGTTGCAAAATAACTTCAACAACAATTTATTGTCGAAGTCTAACTTCGACAAAATTCATTGCCGAAGTTTAACTTCGGCACAACATAGATATATATACAAGTAAGTGAGAAACAGTCAGTACAAACTGTCTTAGATTCAAAGATGAAATACCATGTCAAACAATAAGAATCACGGAGATGTGTGCTTGTATTATTGTTATAAGCATAATATTTCTGGTACTTGTGAAAGATTTTCGTTTCAACTGTGCTTATAGTTAAATAGAGATATATTTTCAATTAATATAATCTAGTATTCTACACAGAATGAAATCATTTGACTCATTTCGAATATTGAAATATACTTTTAATGTATTTTATCAACCGAAATTTCTTCTATGCATTACTATTCGTCCTAAAAAAAAGTTCATTCTATCAAAAACATAAAAATTGAATATCTTTACTAAAACCAAATAAAATGAACCTCATGATAAATCAGTACTGATAGTTTCTGCTCCTCTGACATTTTAACCCTTTGAGGACGGTGGGACATATTGGTTCCACCTATTTTTCAGTACAGAAAATGTTTGCCCTACATTATACTGTTACAATCTTTAAGGTAAATAGGTCGACGAATAGTCATCTCATGCAGTTCTTTTCTCTCTTTCCTGTCATATAGATCCTTCTCAGATGTTCTCCTTTTTTTCTACTACTATATACTGACACATGATTTCTCCCTCTCTTCTCTCGATGCATTATCAACAGGTTTTTATCTGATCATTTTAAGCCAAATACAACAGCTTGATTGAAGAACCATTTTTCAATTGAAAAGAAATTCTGTCCTCAAAGGGTTAATTACAATCTCACCCTTACTGTCTATAGAGTATTGCCGTTTTTATTGAGTTATAAAAAAAGTATAACTATTTACATACAGAAATAAATAGAACATGGTCACAGTAATTTTCTGTATATTCACCGTCTTGTCTTCAAATTTATCGTATGAATATAACCTATACATATCTCTTTATCATTCAACAAAGTACTTTTTCTATGTATAGATAATTGACGTTCTTCAATAGGTGTTATCCACGGAGCTTTCGAATTTATTATGAGCTAAGTTTCATTGTGACTTTGTATAATATATATTATTTCAAAGAATGTATATCTATAGGTACTTATCAAAAACTTTTTGAATACTAGAATATTTCTCGTGATGATCATTGATAATAACTGTCTTTTCTGTTATGTATTTTATCTCTTCTCTTCTATCTATGAATTACTGACTGTTCTTTGAGTTGTGTTTCTTGTCTACAGAGATGCATAATCTCCCTTTGAAGTGAAAATTTTCTCGTACTATTAAAACAAAGGAAAAGTCGAATTCACTTTTTTTACTTGCACATTCGAAGAAAGCCAAAGAGCAATCGTTTTATTTAACATACAAAAAAACTATTTAAAATACTAATCTTTATTGTTCGTCAATTAATAGAAGCAGTATTCACTTCAAAACGATATGTGTTGTATAATTAATTCAAATAACAAGCTGTTGCGATATCTTGTATTAACAAATAAATCAAAGAACCTGCGCACGAAACGTATGTACTTATTTCTACATAAGAAACATTTCTTTATAAGAATTCTTAAATGAAAAAATTTTCTCAAATTTTAAACATTTTCAACAACACATCTCGACATACATAGGTAGATTCTATACGTCTACTTATCTGATCGAGTAGGCTTTTGTAACTACTATATAAGAGCGTCCAAAGTATTACAAAAGCACAGATGAAATTTCAGAATCATCTAATTAACATTGTATACGAAGAATATTCTTTAGTTCTTTATTGTTGATCACAATAAAATAGACATCATAGAAATAATTAAACAGTTTATCCATATTTTGTTATATTGACAAAATCAAATGATTAATAAATCAAGATTTTGTTTTTTTTATTTTAGAAAAAAAATTCTATTTAACATGTACCTATTTCCATTATATTTACTTTTATTAGTATTTCTTAATAATCAAATCAATGCTGAAAACAATTTATCACCAACTTATCAACAGTTAGCATCATCATATTGTTTTATTAACGATTATGCCACTTGGTTAGAACAACGAGAATCATTAAATTATTTTTTAGAATTTGCTCGATTATTTGGTCTGGCTACGAAAGGTATTGAACAAGAGATTAAACGGTATCGTTTACAATATGAATGTTTAAAAAAACTTGAACATCATCCAATGAACACTAAACAAGAGTAAAACTTTCTTCTTTCCTTTTGTTTTTTTGCTTTTTAATGAGCGAAATTTAAAAAACAAAAGAAACAAATTAAATAAACAAAAATAAAACTAATCATTATTTTGTAATAGCACTTGTTGATACTGTTGCTTGTCGTTTAATAGGTAAATTACAATCTAATTTACCACATACAGCTTTATAGTGTACACCCGATAAATCGTTCGTTCGTCCTCGTATTAAAATACTATAATGTTCTTGTAAGTTATGTCCTTCATCTTGAATATAAGCTATTACTTCTATACCATTAGCAAGATGAACACGGCAACATTTACGATTGGCAGATTTTGGTTTTCTTGCTTTTCGTATCAATGTTTTCAGAATCATATATATGATAGAAAAGAAAGACTATAATTATGATGAGTTTTTATTTTGTTATCAAAAAAAAAGTAATTAAATATCAACTAAATATACTAATTTAGCATGTTTGATGACTTGATTATAAAATAACATAATCATTTTTTTTCTTCATACTTGTGAAAAAATTATTTCAAATCTTAAATAAACAACTGATGTAAAGTATAACTGATTCATGAGACGCATACAAATGGGTGTTAATTTATTATATTTATATAAAATTTATTTAATATTTTTCATTTTATTCAATATTGAAACATGTAAGAAAATTGAGAATCATCATTGTTTCTCAGTCATAGTACATTCGATAGAGTTGAAACTTTCTTCTTGGTATACTAGAAAGCGTTTAGGATGCTTAGATCTTTTTGTTTTAATCTATAATGTACAGCTAGTTTTTACCAAGATTTACAGAAGACGTTTCAATTAAACAAAAAATATATTTTTAAAGATATGCCCAGTATTTTGAGGTTTTTCTATTCTAATAGAAAGAAAGTAAGTATCTGAAATAGTGTCTAGTACCCATAAAAAAGAAATTTCTACTCAATCAAACAAATTGCAATTGAGAGAGGAAGTGACTCTTGGTTTGTGCAACCATAATATCTCCATGAAAGAACTATTTGAGAACTTTAACTCTCTGACACATTTTGCTTTACATGTCGAAGTCTATTTACTCTGAACATTTCAACATTTTCTGATAGACTGTTTTCCTGAAGTGCCGGAAAAGGAAGCAATTGCTAAACAGGAAAGCGAAACGAATAGGACTCGTTAATTATAGTGTACACTATAGAATGGATGCTCTCGTATGAGTGTCTAGCCCACTGAAGAGAGAGAACTCTATATGATTGAATATTATTATTTTAATTTCATTTAAAAGCTGAGATACATAAGTAAAAAAGACGAAAAAAAAGAGTACTAGTTCTTTCTTTCATAGTATCTTCAATTTGTATTCCTAATCGATTAAATTTTAAAAAAACCGAACACTGGCCCACAGAGTTGGTTGTCCGTTCATTTTACTCTTTACTGAAGACGTACACCAGTTATCTATAATATATTTGTATGGATATACCAAAGTGTATTAAATAAACAATAAATAAACAATGATGAAATATTCCGTGAACGTAATCAACAGAAATTTAAAATTTTTCACTGTCATACAAATTAACACTGAATAGGTAATGTTATTAAATACGTTGTATTTGTCAATGATTTTAATAAATTTTACTTTGATTTTTCTTATGTATTTATAAAACAACACAATAATTTGAATAAAATAATATCAGAAAAACAAAACAAAGGAAAATAATTTTTTGTTCAAACAACAATTAGATGTTGAGTTAAGTACCAAATAAACGCTGGTTGTAGAAGAACAATTAATAGAAGTAAATAAATTCGACGTGTATTTCCATTTGTATTATACGATTGTGATCCACCTACATCAGGTAATATTTGTAATCGAAGACATTTAACCTATTGATAATATTTACAATAAAGCAATTATAAAGAAAGAAAAAAAAACAAGATGAATTACATACAAGAAAGTAAGATAACGATATACTAATATAAAGAAGTGTACAACGATAAATCAATAATGAATGTGTCATTAAATATGATGATAAAGCAGCAATCATTCCGACATATTTATAACCACAATAAGCAATTAAATCAAGTATACGTAATTTTGATTGAATATTAAATATATAAAATATCAAACAAAGAATACTAATTTCAATTATATTCCATACAAGAACCGATGTTGCATGCATTCCTAATTGTTCTGGTGTAAATCTTTGAATAGAAAAACAAAATATATTTCATTTTTATGTTTAAAATAAAAAAAAAATTTACCTATTTTGTATTCCAAGAACAAGACCAGCAACAAGAACATATGTAATAGCACTCATTACTATAGAAAAGAAAAAAAAACTTAATGATATTTCGATAGAAAAACGATTTTTTTGAAAATATTTTACATGGTATATAATAATCTGGTGCATTTGTATCAACTCGTGGTGGTACTGGTTCATCAGCACTATAGCCAAGTGACCAATTCTATCAAGAAAAGAAAAAAAGAATATGCTTTTAATTAATAAAATTTCTTTTAAATTTACTCGTGGTCGAAATGGAAATAAGAGAAGACAAAGTTTTTTAATAACATAAGTTTGATCAACAGCAAAATAATATTTTATAGACGATAAAGATTTTTTCATCTAAATTAGTTAAATTAAAAGTAAATTTAAAATAAACATAAAAGATCTTATTGTTCTACTTGATTAGGTAACATATTAACAGTTTTGCCTGTTATATCTTTCATGCCTTGTTCAACAACATTCAAACCAACATTGAATAATGAATTATTTGATAGAAATTCCATGCCTGATGTTGCTGGATTTGATGAACCATAAAATGCTGATTGTGGTGAAAAAAATGTATTGTGAGATTGAGGATTTGGCATAGTATAATCATTTCCATAGGCATTTGATGTTTGAGATGGAGCTAGAAGATCGACGAAAACATAGATTAAAATTGTTGAAATAATAAAGAAAGACAAACCATAAGGCGCTCTAGGCTGATAATATTGAGATGAGTGTTCTTGTTGAGGATGATGATGATGATGATGATGGTTTTCTGAACGATATATTGTGCCGTCTATATTAAGATAAATCAAGAAAAGAATGAACAGATTTGAAAACTTACCAGAACTCATAGCTGTAGACTAAAATAATGTGTTTGAAAGAAAGTGACTCAAAAGAGATGTGATTCATATCAGCCACATGTAAAGTAAGTTAATTGGTTAATAGATTCGTCAACAGGAGACAATGCACTATGCTGCGAAGACATTAGGGACATCTGTCTTGCAATGAAATTTTGGTTGCTGACGAAGTTCTTTTCGGGATTCGGATAGTTGTTCGCTGGACATTTGCTCGCGAATGAAATGACCCCTTCATTGTAAATGAAAGAATATTTTCATATATCGCATACATATATTTACTTCGCAGCATTTTTACGAGCAAGTGGCCTAGAGAGCAAATATCTTAGCGAGCAAGTGTCCGGCGAGCGTCTGTCCTAAATCCGTTATTTTCACCAAATTTAGTAGGTTATAAGTAATCGAACATACTGATGTCGTACTTGTCGTAGCATTACTGAAAAATTGCTTGTCTTACGATGAATGTACTAAGTACTAACATGCACGAAAAGATCCATAATAATTATTTTCATCTTATCCGTTTTTTTTTGTTGCTAATATATATATATATGTTAAGAAAAATTAATTCAGAAAAATATTTCTTAAATCTAGGCAGATGAGTATGTATATATTTTTGTCATTATCTGTATACTATTTTTCTATATTTTTTTTTCCCTTAAAAACATATGTTTCATAATAAGATGCGAATAATAATAACTTGATTTTTATTGATCAATTCTTCACTATGGTACTTTACAATTTAGAACAAACTACCAACATATACTTTGCAAATGAAAACGAGATACATATTTGTATTTTGTTAAAATTTCTTATTTGAAGCTCTGATTATTTGTATGAATAAACTCTATCTGATCTGTCATTTGTATTTAGATAAAGACTAGCAGGTTTAGAGAGAGGAGACGATCTCCTTCCCTTCCGCAATTTTTTCAGATGTTACTAAGCACAAAAGGCTTGAAACAAGATCCAATACTAACTCTAATCGATTTCAAAACATATTTCTTGACCATTGTCACCGCTCTTTTTTTTACGGACGCACCTTCATTTATCAAAATCCTAGATCCACTATTGTATCACATATGTTTTCAATATTTGAACTATATACAATTGATGTTGTTGTATAAATCAGATAAATCAAATGGATTTAGAGGCTAACATTTTTTATTGAATATGAAGCGAAACCTCGAATATGCATTACGTTTTATCCAACTACTCGGCATATTTCATCTTCTGCATCTTTGTATAATAGCTTGCGTTAATGATACAGGCTTGCAAATTTGATGACACTAAAGGATCAGTTGTCATGGCGAAGAGAACATTTATCGCATTAACATTGCTTTAGTTCAGTCTCTACAAAAGTAAGAGAGACAATCAAAGTCTATCTTGAATAAACCTTGACCTTGGTACATTGAAATAAATTTTGCGGATTGATTATCATTAAACTAATTCATATGCCAATGTGTTATGAGAAAATTGAAGGTTCAACATCCATCATTTGTAATACTAGATTAAGAAGTAAGTACAAAAAATTTGCCATATGTGTATCATCAAACAGGTTTCTTATTAGAATGCACAAGTTCAAATTTTTATATCGCCTCGATTTACTGATCATGATCAGCATAAAATAATTGTTTTATTCTACATCGATGTTGTTATCTAAACATATGAGAAGAACATTTGTAACTTATAAACATGAGCGCATCACTGTGTACTACCATTTTTGAATGAAGTACATCATTGTTTCTTTTGTTTTTTTTTTCTATATTTGTAATCATTAGAAAAAAAACGCATAGACTTATACCAACAAGCATACTAACGAATATAAACATTGCTATTAACTTTAAGAAAAAAAAATAGTGATAAAATCTTTATTTAAATACAGACAAATCCGTCCACATATATCTAAATGTTGTTGGTTTAATCATTTGAAGTTATTTACATGAGAAATAAAAATCAATAAGTAAAACATATTAGTCCTATATTACTTTTGTTCGTTGGTATCAAACGATAATAAGATCAAAGACAAATAGAAACAAGAAAGAAAAAAACAAAAGAGATTTCTATACAGAAACGATAAACAAACAAAAAATAATAATAATAAATAGAATATCAGAGCGAATGTTATATTGTAGATGAAATCTGATTATTATCAGTGCTCTTTCATGATTATTATTGAGCGAAAAGCACTTAACCATTGTTGTTTATCATACATATCACGCGCTTGTAGTAAAATTGAACTAGTTCGAGAATCATTATTATCTAATGTTGA